TAACCCTGTGCCAATGGGTTCCTGGCTATGGCATGCCTCTTCACCTGATCCCACCTCCCACTTTCCTATCTGGTCTCACTGGGTGGCTGGTTTCAGACTCCTTTTCTCATCTGCTTCTATTCCTCCTCTTCCCCATTACTCCATGCCTCCCTGGAACACGATCAGTTCTCTAGGGGGTATCGGTGATGAATAGAGAGCCACAGAGCAGTAGGGGGCCCATTAGCTCTCACTTCCACAGTTAGAGCAGAGATAGACCCCAAGGAAATGAATGGGCACTCAGGCTCCCAGGATGACTTACAGGGCAGGACTGGGGGGTGGAGAGGGTAGGGGCTCCCCCCAGAGGGACATCTGGATCTTGCTGTTCTGAGCTCAGTGCACTCCCTGGTCCTCTGCTGAGAGCTCACAGATACCTACAGGGGATATCAGAGAAAAACTGAAATTGTTAGTTGTGTGTGTGGGTCCAAAGCTGTCTTGGGCATTTGATGGGCACTTGGATTTCCCAATAGAGGGCCTGCACTTCACACATCTCAGGGGAGCTGAACTCTGAGTGGATGAAAACGGAGACGTGGAGGCACCAGTTACAACACTGTTTGTTATAGGGCAGAAATCAGTGTACCTTAGGCGGCCCTGGCTCTCTGCCAAAGGATTTCATTTTCTGAATCACCCCAAACACTTCTCCTTGCAGGCTGCCCCGGGGTCCTGACCCTCAGCACAGAAGGGCTCCAAGGCCACTGCCCTTCTGGCCACACTTGCCAGCACAGCCCTGACCCAGGTAGGGCCTCCTAGGGGCCTCCTGCACCTGCTGCAGGTCCTTTCTCACTGCTCTGGGTAACCCCTCTCTGCGCTGGCCTGACGTGCCACATCAGCAAGTGTGCAGCGCCTGGACTCCCTTCCCAGGGCGCCATCTGCACACATGTGGTGCAAGGGCTCAGCCATCTAGAGTGGAAGCTGGATTTTGGGGGACCCTGGGAGAAGACAGGGTGCCCCAGAGCCACATTAGGTGGTGTGTCCTTTGGGATTTGCCCCCACAGTCTCAGGGGCACACACCATCTGATTCCTTGGTCTCTGCACCCTGGAGTTGGTAATCCGAGTCCCTGCAGGGCTGGTAGCTGCAGCCACTAAGCCGGGGCTGCTCTGCTTTTTCTCAGCGGTTAACATGTCCCAGCTCTTCTTCAATGTCAAAATGTTTTCCCATGAACCAGGGGGTGGGGAGGGAGCATTTCCCTGCCTTATCAGCCCTAGCAACCAGAAGCCCTGTTTCCAGGAAAGCAGCCACTTGATCCAACCGGTGAGACCCACTCCCCAGCCAGCACTGGCCTGGCATTGCAGCCCCAGCACCCAGCACGCAGCAGCCAGTGTTTTTTTAGCTGTGGCCACATGACATCATTTCCAATTGGCCAGCCTTCCTCCTCCTCCCTCGCCCAGCCTCCTCCCCACCCCTGCCTTTCTCCTCTCTCCAGCCCAGGGTGGTAGTTTGTAAAGTGGTGGGAATGCTTTGGGCTTTTGGGGGGGGGGCTCTAATTCCCTTTGTTTCTCAAAATATCCCAGGCCTGACTACTGGAATCACTTCCGGGACAGAGACAGGCTGGCTCAGGCCCTGAGACACAGCTCAGCCGGCTCACTTGGGGTGGCTGGACGGGTGGCCCTGAGTAAGACCCTCCCCTTCAGTGGGGTGCCTTCCTCCCTCCTGTGAAATGAAATGCAGTTTCTCTGAACCCCACATCCTGTGAGGCGCTTGGGGAAAAATAACGGTGATGCCCACATGCGATCGTTAGGTACTTCCCTCCCCGAGCCGGGCAGCTGTCTCTGAGTAAGTTTGGTGGTGCTTGGTGAGCCACGAAAAGGCAGGACTGTGTCTTGTGATGAAGAGGTTCTTTTCCTAACCATATATGTCTTCCCAGGAGAAGCAATAAATAATGTGGTCACTCTGGCCGGGTTGTCTTTCCCTAGCTGCCCCAGGAGCCCTCTGGCCGCGCAGCTGCTTCTCCTGTTTCAGTTTCCATGTCCTCTCCACTTTGTAACTCAAGGAGCAACTCGGGCTTAGGAACAGCTGACGACCCGGCCAGGTCCCTGCCGAGGCACCTGGGAGAGGGGCGGTGGGCACTGCATCCTGGTGGCCGTGAGTCACTGGAAGGTGAGCGAGGATGTGTGCTGGAGGGTGGGGACCGCCAGTACCAAACCGAGAAGACCTGGCGAGGCCGTGTGACAGAGACGTGAAGAGCATTCTCACGGGAGACCGCACAGACAGCCCTCCCATCACAACTTCACCTTCCACCTCTGTCCCCCAGAAAGGGGGCCGACTGCTCATTCAGGAGCACACACTGCCGAATCGGAGAGCTCAAAGGATCTTTGTGAACCCATCACACCCCAGCCCTGTGCTTTCCAGATGAAGAAACTAAAGCCCAGAGGTGAAATAATTGTCCCAAGTCCTGGTAGAATGGGGCTGGAACCCAGCCTCCTCTCAGAGCCCTTACTCCACACACCCTGCTCCGCCCACCGCAGCCCCAGCCCCAGCCCTGGCCCCGGGTGTTTATATGCTGCACCCAGGGTGCTGAGCGCACTCAGCCAGGAGGTGAGGGTCAGCTGGAAGATGAAAGGCAATGGAAAACGTGGATTCCATCCCTCCCTGAACTCCTGCACTCCTAGCTCTGCTGACCCCTCCTGCTGCACCCCCTTGACCCCTTCCAAAGTGATGGCTTTTCCTTCTGGGTCAGACCAACTCCTCAACCCCCTCTCCCCGGAGGAGGGACGGGCGGAGTTCCAGGTTAGGGTGACTGTTCCCTGTCTCCAGCTGTTCTTTTATTATTGAGCGCCTGGAGGGAAGGGAGCCAAAGGGCCATGGGAGCAAAGCATGTCATGTGGGGAGTGGCTGGCCATGTGGTGCGGGTGGCTGAGCGTTGCAGCGGCAGCCAAGTCCTTAGGCTCTGCTCTCTCCTATCGCTAAGTGCTGGAGTGGAAACTTCTGAGAAGGCCCTGAAAGGTGACAACCTGGACAAAGCTGCCGGCCTCGGCTTTGCGGGGCTCCTTCCCTCAGAGCTCTGGAATGCCACGCATGTGTTTATCTCAGGCCGGCCCGTGCCCGCCCACTCCGTCTACCTCTGCTTCCTCCACGGCTCAGCATGCCATTGGCATCTAATAAATGTTAAAAAATAGCGACATCTGAGCCACTGACCTTCACATAGATGCCTTGGAGACCAATGCCAGACAACCAAGGCCTGGAAGTGAGAAGAGAAACACGCGGTCAGCACGGGGGCCATGGACGCTGGGGGTCCAGGAGGGTGTGGAATTTGCCCCAAACTCAGCCAGGGCTCAGAGGTCAAAAGAAGTGGAACGGGGCCAGATGCTTTAACAGAGATGCCTGAGCCACGTGGCCTTCGCACACCCAGGGCCCTGGCTCTGCTCCGCCTCCCAGCCCAGCAGGTCAGGTGTGCTGGCTGCACGGGGGACGCTGGGGCACAGCTGACACCCTCTCTTCGCTGCTGGCCCCACCCTCACCAGGTCCCTTTCACCATTGTTCAGCAGAGAGACTTCCTCGTCTGGCGTCTGGTGCTGAAGGACGGGAGGGACTGGGGTTTTCCATCCCGTCTGAGTCTTAGGTTTCGATCTCTTCCTTAAAAAAAAACACAGCCTTTTCTTTACCCCAGGCCTGGCCGGCGGAGGCTCGGCACAGTCCCTTTTCAGCCAGCTCTCTGCCTTCCGCTTTTCTTCTTCCCCAAAGACTGGGGGAGGTGAACACCGCAGAGGGGAGGGGACCTGTGTTTCCGGAGGGCCTGTATCTCATTGTTTAACCTCGCCCCAGAACCGACTTGACAGGCCAGGGCGTCGAGGCTTGGAGACAGCAAGTGAGCAGCCAGGCCAGCAGCTGGCAGGTGGACAAGGAGCCTTCCCAGGGCTGGCTGTTGGCACCTGTGGGGGCTCACTGCATACGCTGTTGGCGATGCCCATGCGCTTGATCCCTTTTCTGCTCAATGACAGAAAAGGTAGCCATGGCTATCCCCATTTTAAAGATGAGCAAACTGAGGCCCAGAGAAGTTAAGAACTTCCCTAAAATTGGCACTGCAGTTCTGAGCCATTGTTATAGCGGCAACCAATATTTGCTGGGGTCCCGGGCATCACGATTGAGCAGCTGTTGGGGTGATCAGCTGTCCCAGTCTTCCCAGCACCCTCTAGCCTCAGTCATGGAAGTGATGTGTCCTGGGAAACCACTAAGTCTTGGGCAAACTGGGTGGGTCGACAGCCCCATTGCTGCTCCTCCATCTCCTCCTCTTCCTTTCCCACAGTGAGGCCGTTGTTAACCTCAGTCATTTACTTGGGAAAGACAGAGGGGCTCTGGGGCTAGAGAGCAGATCCCAAGTCCGGGTAGTAGGTGACAGGGGAAATGCTCCTAGCACAGTGCTGGGAAGGAGTGGATGCTCACTGACGGCCACTCTTGTTCTCAGCCTACCCTGTGGTGGAGACGGAAGAATGGAAAGGGGGGGACCCTGAGGAGTGGGGCAGAGCCCTGAGTGGAACCCCTCTGCTTGCTGATTCCTGCTCAGGGCCAGGCTTTGCCACGTGTCACTAGTGGCCTGCCGATTGGGACTCGGTCTGGGAGGCAGGCTGTGGACATGGGTGACGGTGAGGAAACCCAGGCATAGGAAAGCCAGCTCTTGGCCTCTTAGGGGAAAGGGATGATGGGGAAGGAGGTGACTGAGAGGGACCCTGGAAGATTTCAGGGGGCAGAACAGCGGAAACAGTCTCTGTGGGAGCTGCGTGAGGAGGCGTCCCACTGGGGGGTGAAAGGCCCTCCCGATGTGCTTGCCTCTGCACCAGGCATTCTCTGTGCTCTCTCCCAGCGTCACCCTCAAGCCTTCCCAAGTCCCATGAAGCTGGTATCAACATCTCCATTTTTTAAATGAGGAGAGTGAGGCACCCAGAGATAAAAAGCACTTGCCACAGCCACACAGCTAGGAGGTCATGCAGCCAGGATTCAAACTTGTCTGACAGTGAAGGACGAAAGGGGTTTTCCTCTCCTCCTTTTTAAATTATACAACATTTCTTTGCTTGCAAGGCCAGGTCAGTGGAGTTTAGGCAAAATCTTCCTTTGCAGTCTGCACACTCCCTTCCTCTTTCATTTTCTTCCCTAAAGGATAAGAAAAGGTAACTATTTTAGCCCCTCTGCCATGCTGCCTCTTTCCCGCCCCAGACCTGATTAGGAAGTAGGCCTGGGGAAGGGGGAATCGGTGATTGGTAATCCCAGGTGTGTGTGTATGTGAGCATGTGTGCACATGTGTTTGAGAGCGTGTGAGTGTGAGTGAGTGTACGTGTTGAGACCCAAATTGCTCCAGGAAAACTTTTGCATCCTGGGGCTTGAAGATCACTCCCACCCCACCCCCTCTTAGTTCATCTCTAACCCTTTATCAGACCCGCAAGGCTGGCCTCCTTTCAGGAGCACGGGGAGAGCCAAACCTGGGATCACCCGTTGGCCTTATCCCACGCAGGGCTCGGGAAGCAGCCTTCGTGCAGCCCTCGCACCTGTGTGTGAGGGAAATTTGGGGGCAGGAGGAGCAGATCAGGAAAGAACCTGTGCTGGGTGTGGTTTCCATGGCCCAGGCAAGCTCTGCCTCCAGACAAAGGGGTGCCCCTGAGTCACCGGCTCAGGCACCACCTCATCTGTCCGCCCTCTTCCCAGCACCACCCCTGCCACCACCTCCTCATCCCTGCCCATTACTCACCTGTTTCCATCTGTTTCCCCTCACTGAGCCTGCACGGGGCATGTCCTTGGACCAGCCTCGCTGTGCACAGCATGATTGTGAATGGGCCCAATAGCAGCCACAGAGAAACACAAAATCACTTCTGCATCCTGGGGAGTCTTGTTTCAAGGAGCCTGTCACACTGGGAGCTCCCTTTCTGCCAACAGGTTGGGCCATTAGATCTATCCCAGAGCTCCAGAGAGAAGCCATTTCTAGGTAGGAAGCATTTTGCAGGGTAGCCAGGGGAGCAGGATGAAGTGCCCTAAACCTCGGCCTGCACGGATGCCTGTGTGCATTATGTCCGCCATGGTCGGAATTACACTACGGAAAGCAATCTTTATAGCTCATAGTAAGCACGTAACTGCAAGTTATTGAATAAATGAATAAAAGAGCTGTTTGCATGTCTGAAGATCGAGCAAGTACAAAACTGAAAATTCTCTATAATCAAAACATCAATACTGATACACAAATGAGATTTTTAAAATCCAGACTGGCTTGAAGGTGGGGCAGTTTGAAATAGAGAAATAGATCATGAAACCAGAATGATGGAAATAAAGAATCCGAACTGAGATACACCCTTTGCTGGAGCTGGCAAAAGGCAGGGTTGCTGTGCATTACTGCACAGGTTGTATACTGCACAATTCTAGAAGGTACTCTTCATAGCAACTACACTGTGCGAGTGTTTTGCAAAGTGATGGTTCTGGATAAGCGTTTTCCCAATCCCTCAGTGAGGAACATGTGGAAAGTTCATATCAGAACAAAATAGTGCATATAATTAGGAGTTTGTCTATACATGTATTTCTGCTTACCTTAACCATTTAGCAAATTTCACATATAATTCATTCATGTGGATTCAGTCACTTAAAATTTTTATTACAAAATAAAAAAGTTGTAGATTCATAGGAAGTTGCAAAACAATGCACAAGGAGGTCCCCTGTGCCCTTCATTAAGTTTCACCCAACGGTAACATCTTGCAGAACTAGATAGTGAAACCAGGAAATGGCCAGTGGTCCAATCCACAGAGCTTATTCAGATTTCACTGGTCTTAACACACAGGCATTTGTGCCTGTGTAAACTCCTGTGCAGCTTTATCACATTAAACTGGTGGTAGATTCCTGTAACCACCACCAAAATTAAGATGCAGAACTGCTCTCTACCACCTGCTATACCTTCCTCCATCCCTAACCCCTGGTAACCACTAACCTGTTCTCTGGCTGTATAATTTTGTTATTTTGGGAATGTTATATAAATGGGGGTTTATTTATTTATATTTATTTATTTATTCTCACCTGAGGTTGTGTTAAAGAGGAAGGGAGAGAGAGAAGAGATAGAGAAACACTGATGTGAGGGTGAAACATCAACTGGCTGCCTCCCGTACCTGCCGGGACTAGGGAATCGAATTTTCAACCCCTCAGTGCATAGGATGACGCTCCAACCAACTGAGCCACACAGGCCAGCACTTAATGTTTTATTTTTAATTGCCAATCTTTACACTATTTCTTTCACTACAAAGTTCTGACTACAGGGTTTCTACTCAAGTATTTCTAAGGAGAAGTGCTTGAACTATGAGGACCCCACTCATAGGGAAGTCAAGAATGTGGTGCGTGGAGGGGGCGGGTCAGGAAGCTAGGAGAGCACTTACGTTCAGCAAGCACTCACTGTGTGGCAGGCACTGTTCTAGGGCTTTCCGTGAGCTGCCTACAGAACGCTCTGCCCCCCACCCTCATCCGCTGCACACTCTTCATGGCCTTTGCACACACTTCCCATCCGGCCACCGTCCCCTGAGGGCAGGAGGATCTCCCTACTCAGAGGGCCAGGCAGGAACCACAGGGCCTCTGGCCACTGAGTTGTCAGCTTTGATTTCCTGTTTCCTTGGGTGCTGAGCGAGGTCTGGCTGCCCAGGGGGCTGCATGCCATTTCTCTGCCCCTGGCCCTTGGGTTGAGCTTGCTGTCACCTCCCAGCTTCTAGGGCCAAATGCCACCTAGGAGCTGGATGCCGGTGGCTTCACCATTGGCATCACCTCCTATAGCCACTTGGCTACCTCAGATTCGTACCTTGAAGACCTAGAGAGAGACACACACACGACTTTTATTGGCATTTTCAGGAATTAAAGATTAATGGAAAGGAACCCATTGTCCTAAATCCCAGCTGGATATGAGATTTAGGAAATTCCCTTTGTGAGGTTATTAAGGCTCAGGGCCCGGTGAGGCTGTTTCCGGTGACATAATGTAATCGGCCTATTATCCGGGAACTTTGGGCTGGGCTGGCACAAACAGACGTTTAGGGACTTTAGACCCAGGAATGGATTACCAGCACTGGCGAGTTCTTATGTTGGGAGATCTTTGGAAACGGAGGTAGATATGATGGGTCTGAGCAGTTAGGTGCTGCCCTGCCTGAAGTAAAGGCATAAGCGCAATATTATTTGAGAGCCTTTATTGCCCTTTGATTTTGTGAAATCTTTACTTCTTTTTGTCAATGCACTTATGGCCTGAGGCTGAGAAGGTACAGTCTCGGAGTTTCAACTTTGCCAGAGCACTAAGGAGTACACTTCAGCTGTTCTCTAGGCAGAACCCTCCAGTGTCCCATTCCAATGTGCACTAGGCTGGACAGTTACAACCATTATGAAGTTGGAACACCTGTCACTTGTTTGATTAGCATCATGGCCAAGTACCTCATGTTGCATAACATAGACACTTATTGAGGCGAATAATAGCTGATTATGTTGTGAGGATTTTGTTTTAGCACTTAAGAAAATTGGAGGCCCCTTGAAGATTGTGACAGGAGATAGTCTGCATTTAAACATTCTTTCTAGGTTAGAATCTGAGACCAAAAGCCAGGAGTCACAGAGACTGATATTTGAGTTCATAGAAGCTCATATAAGAAGAGAAATGAGTCGTTGTGTCACTGTCACCGGGCACATTAAAAATGATTGGATTGCTTCGCCTAATGGTAGACACTTTGATCACTTTTAGAAATTTACTGGTAACACATTAAAACTTTGTTATTCAACCCTTTCCCTGGGAAACCCCCTCTTTCTAGGGCTCCTCCTCTTCATAGTTAAAATAGCTTAAAGTTCTTGTATGTCTTTCAAGGGCAGATAGGTTCCGTTTAGAGTGGATTCCAATTCAAAGCAAACAACGTTAAAGCAAGGTCCAAAGTGCATTGATCAGAAATGAAACACTGAGGAATATTTTGTTCACAAATAAGAAAGAGCACTGTGATGCGCCGGGGATGTGATTTTTCCACAAAGAGAAGTCCTTACGTTTGCTGCACGGACTCACTGTCCCCCCTTTTCTCTTTGTAGCAAGTGTCCTTTTGGTGAGAGGCACATGAAAGACTCTCACTCTCTTATCTGCAGTCCTAAAATCCAGAAAGCTATGCAAACCAGTGTTTTTTAACATCTAATGCCATTTGCCAGCAAAATCTCAGCTGAACCGACTTGAAACTATTTATAGGTTTTATTTAGCTCACCTATCTCCATGTTTTATTTTAGAAATATTAATGCTTGCTTATGGGGCAGTGCCCAGGTCCGCTGTGAGTGGAGTTACACAACGTAAGGTATCGGCACTGCGTGCCATTTCTTCCTAAAAATATGAAGAATTCTGAATCCTTAACACAGCAGCCCAAGGGTTTAGGACAAGGAATTGTGGACCCAGAGCATACTTTTCCCCCCACCCCACTCGCCGCCACCTACTACATAACTATCCACATTTTTTGAAAGGCAATGGGTCCCAACCAGATGTCCCAGCTTGTCAGGCCCGTCACATTATCCACATTAAATCCCAGACTCCAACGCTTCCTCTGCTCTGCCCGGAGTCTAAGCAGCAACAGCAGGGCTCATAGGCTGGCTGGGCACAGAGGTGACTGCAGCACTGTGGGCCAAATTTCCAGGAGCCCTTTTCTGATCCTTCAAACAGTCTCTCCTCATGGGAGAGGGAGAGTGGGCATTGAATATTTGGCTCACTGCTGCCAAGGGTCCCACTGGGGTGTGTAAGAACTTATAGTAAATCCACTGAGTCATTCACTCATTAATTTGTCAATCTCTTCATTCACTTAGTTAACACTTTTTGTGCACCTTTTATGATTTAGGTATATTTTATTGAGATCCGTGTACAGAGTAGGAGAGAGGAAAGCTTAGACTTAATCAGAATGTTCTCAGACAATGTCTCAAATAATCCAAGAGATGTTAGTGGATGTTAGAGGGGAAAAAATTTCCATGGTCAAATAAGGCTAGAAAATGATGAATTAAACAGATTTCTTCACTACAGCACTTTTCTGAGTCCTTAATAAAGTAATATGCATGGCAAACATCCAAAAGGGGGCCTTAGCATTGACCAAGGAATGCTTGCCTGGGGACCTCTCAGCCTCTCTTAGATCAGGTAATTTTTATAATCCATGGAGTCTGTAGGAGGAATTATGTGAAGGTGACAGAGTTGAAGGACTCTATAAGCAATGGAAAAGATTGCCACCATGTTGTCTATGTTTTTGCAGAGCTTTGGGATATTGTTGCCTCTTCAATTGCTCTGAAATACCATAAAAGTACAGGTGGTGCCTCAGCCGGGTGGCTCACTTGGTTGAGCATTGTCCAGTACACCTAAAAAAAGATTGTGGGTTTGATCCCAAGTTGGGGCATGCACAGGGGGCAACTGATCAGTGTTTCTCTTTCTCTCCCTCTTTCTCTCCAGTGTATCCTAGGGTAAGGGTTAAAAATAATAATAAAAATTTTAAAAAGTACAGGTGGCTACCTGGGGTCAGGGTAGAAGAATAATGCTTTTCTAGAGCCAACTGACCTTGAGAATAATAGCCCCTTAAGAGCAATTTCCAACTGAA